ATATATATATATATATATAATGGTTGAATTTGCCAAAAATTATTTGGAATTGGGAATTTGGAATTTGGAAAAATTATTTATTTAATTTTCACAAATTACAATAGAATTGGCCAATTATTTATATTTCAAAAAATTCAATTGCGTGCATAATCAAATAAACAAAGAAAATTTGAAAGAAAAATATTATTATTATATATTATATATATTTTTTGATTAATATAATTTTATATTTATTCAAAAATTTACGTTATAGGTTTTTATTTTGTAAAATAAATAAATTGATCACTGATTTTTCAATCATCATTCTTTTTTCTGTTTTTGTTTGGGTTGTAGAATGTGTCGGGATCAAGAATAGGTTTCCAAATAATTCATAAAAACCAACAAATTATGTTTTAAATGTTTTTCCTTAAAAAATGAAGTTGAACTAAAATGCAAACTAGAGGTAGGGTGAAATCGACTGCTTTTACACAGGCCATTTCTAAAAATGATATAGGCTTAGTTAAAAGCCTAATAAATAAAGGGGCAGCTTTAAATGGGCAAGATATTGATGGATATACACCATTATTAATTGCAATTAAAAGTGGTAATTTGGATCTGACAAAGCTCTTGATCGAGTCAGGTGCAGATGTGAACGCTAAATGCGCCGATGGCTATGCCCCATTACATTTTGCCAGTTGTTACAGCCCATTACCATTAGTTAAAGCATTGATTGAAGCCAAAGCAAATCCAAATATATTAAATTCAAATGGCGAAACACCTTTAATGTTTGCTGCTGCTTTAAAGCAGAATGAAATATTGAAGTTTTTAATAAGAGCAGGTGCCAATATTTTTGCCAAAAATAAATGTGGACTAAATGCTTTAAGTATTGCTATACAAAATAAACATTTGGAAATTGCAAGATCATTATTAAGAGCAGGTACATTTTTTTATATAATTGAAACAACAGAAAAATTGAAGGTTGCTGAATATTTTTTCAACTCTATGAAAGCTTTTATGCATTTTATCTCAACTCTTCATGTGGAAGATGAGAATATATTATTATTGATGATGATATCTGCTAGAGTTGGCAGACTCGATATATTAAAAGATTTTCTAAAAGCTGGATTAAACATCAAGGTTGATAATAATCTTCTTAATGAAATTTTAGAATTTGCCAAAAATAGCCGTAATATCAATGTCGCAAAATATTTAATAAAATACAAGTTACTTTTAGATAGTAATGCAGATCTACCAAAAGCCAATATTGGTTTAAATGATTATTGGAATGAATGTAAACATGAAGTAGAGATTATGAAGAAAATTTTGTTAGGAAAAAGTAAAATTACTTTATACCATTTTCTAAGAGAAAATGATGAAACTAAATTAAGTGGTTTTCTATCAAATGAAGAAACAGATATAAAGAAAGATTTAGAACAATCAAATTATTCAAATCGTTTTCCAGCATTTGCTGATATTATTGAAGAACAATATGAAATTGGTGAAAGACGAAGAAGACTTTTGGTTAAAGCAAGAATTGTAATGGAACATTCTGATCTTAAACAGCTTGGAGTAAATATCCTCTATAACATTGTCAAATTCTTTAAGAATATGGATCTTGAAGCTCTCATCAATTCACCATTTTGTAACGAACCTGAAGAAGTTCTTTATCATCATCCTCCAATATTTTTAAGCCGGTAAGTTCTATATATATATATGTAGTATCTATAGGATTATGCAAATTAATTTTTTTTGGTTGCAGAAAAAGACGTTTTGAAGATATATAATGTTTGTTTTTTTATAATGGAAGTTTAATTCAAATTTTCTCTCCAAGAGCTTTATATTGTAAATATATACATATATATATATATATATAAATAAATGTGTAAAATATATGTAAATCTTCTTCTTTCTTATCTCCACTCAATCACATTAGGATATCAAGTTGTGACCCTTGATGGTGTCTGTTTGACAACCATAATGACTGGGTGAAGTAGAATGTGTCTGCCTTTGTCATTAAGACTGGGAGCACTACTCAGTGGCAGGCCGACTTAGCTCCAAAAGAAATGGCCGCCTCTGACATGAGGAACAGACGCCATGTGCAGCTGCTCCTAACATGGAGTACAAACGCTGCTCATCCTGTATCCCTGGATTAGGAGCCCTTACAGGGTACTATCAGCCGGGTCAGCTAAGCCCAGGTTTTTTAGTGAGCTTGTTACTGCTCCCCCTCCTCCTTTTTCATCCGGGCTTGGGACCGGCAAAGGCGGAGTTATATATGTAAATGAGTTATTTTTGCATCACCATAATGGCAATATGGAAGTTGAGTAACTATGTTTATAATCCCCTTCCCTGCTGATGTAAAAAGCTTATTTCCTATTTGATGATGGAGATATTTGTCATGGCTGCTGTGTTTCTTAGTTGCTGACTATAATCTTCAGCACCATAATCTTTCTATGCAAATTGATTTTACCGCCTTCTAACTTCAGCCATTTTCTTAACAGCTTAATGAGAGAGAACATAAATCCATCGCATATTTCAAAGAATAAATTTTGTACTACAGTAGAACCTCCATGAGAGGACACCTCTCTATAAAGGACAGTTTTAATTTGAAAAATTATCATTTTTACTATTTAGCAACTCTCCGGTAAGAGGACATTTCTCTCTAAAGGACACTTTGGCTCTACAATTAGGTGTCCTTTACAGGGAGGTTCTACTGCAGTACCAAATTTCTTCTTTAAAATATGCGATGGATTTATATTCTCTCTCATTAAGCTGTTAAGAAAATGGCTGAAGTTAGAAGGCGGTAAAATCAATATGTATCATCAATGTTTCTTTATAAATCTCCAAAAAAAACTTTCTCTAAACAAAACTAATAATCTTGATAAGGCACAATTTGGATTATAGATTATAAAACAAGGTAATAAGACCAAATACAAATAAATAAATAGTGTGTGACGTTTCGGTAACAGCGTTGTTACCATCTTCAGACAAAAGTACTGACTTCAGTACTTCATTCAGTACTTTTGTCTGAAGATGGTAACAACGCTGTTACCGAAACGTCACACACTATTTATTTGGATTTGGTCTTATTACCTTGTTTTAAAACTAATAATCTAAAAATGCTTAAGAAAAATTCAGGGGTTTGTAAGCTGTTGCTAGGTATGAATGAAATGGGAGGGGGGGGGGGGGAATATGTAGTAATATTGTACGTGTGTTGCAGTCCCAATTGCATTACATGATGCAGAATAAACCCTTGACAAATGATGATACCGAAGAGATTAGCCATATACAGTCTAACTTCTTTAATTCAATACCCCAAGGGATCAAAGCTTTCAGTTGAATTAAAGTAGGTCAGATGATTTTATCACAACATTACTAATAATAGATTTAAATCTCCTAGATATTATTTAAACAAATGCTATAGGTTTCTTTTTTTTTTAAATATAATTAAAGGCATATCTGTAAATATCATTTATATTTCCCTTTTCTTCCATTCTATTAATTGAAGCACATGTCTTTTGGATGAAAAGGGCTTCTTTGAACTGTCTTTTGTAGTAATTTTTTTCATAATCCAGTGTTCTTGGGTTTTCTAAATTGAATATATTGTGTCCTGTGTCCCTTCTGTGTTCTACAAGAGCAGAATTTTGAATTCTATCCCACTTCAGAGCATATTTATGGTTTTCCATCCTTTCTTTCAATGTTCTGGATGTCTGTCCCACATAGCTTTTTGATCACACTTCTCACACTTCATGGATCAAACCTGCTCTTTCTGGTTTCTGAAGATGAGTTTCTTTTATCTTTATTAAATGTGATCTCAATATTTCGGTTATCTCTGTCCTTCTATATAGGAGTACATAGAAACATATAAACACTGTTAATACAAACATCTTAATGCTGTTTATATGTACTCCTATAGAAGGACAGAGATGCCAGAAAGCTTGAGATCATGTCTAATAACAACAACAACAAAAAGCCTTTATTCAGGATCACTGACCATATACAGGATTCACCAGAGGTATGCATAAGAACAAAGCAGTGAGACAAAGGAAATAGCGATATATACAGAAGAAAAGGAAAAAAAAAAAAACAAGAAAGAGAAAGAGGGAAGCAAGAAAAACAACACAAAAAGAGTAGCAGTAAGAAAGTGAGGAGTGAGTGTCACTTGGCCTTCTTCTGAGATATGGACTTGTGGAAACCATAAAACGCCGTAGCAATATACTTATTCTGGGTCATATTGTCAATTATTGATGGAAGTGAAGCACAGAGTTGCCATGTCTAATAAAGATAAAAGAAACTCATCTTCAGAAACCAGTAGCATTTGTTTAACACAACATTTCACTGCTATTGAACATTTCTTTAAGATAACCAAATAAAATATAATGTGGCTTGTAATTGTAAAGCGGCATTTGAAAATTATCCCAACGAAAAAATGAAATTTAAGGAGAAATAACGATCATTTCTAACCTTAGGGATGAGGGATGAATTGTGAAGAGTAATGATAAACGGGAAAAATAAATTCCCCATCCCTGGACACTTTTATTTTTTCCGTTTATCATTACTCTTCACAATTCATCCTTTCTAAAACAAGGTAATAAGACCAAATCCAAATAAATAAATAGTGTGTGACGTTTCGGTAACAGCGTTGTTACCATCTTCAGACAACGCTGTTACCGAAACATCACACACTATTTATTTATTTGGATTTGGTCTTATTACCTTGTTTTATAATCTATAATCCAAATTGTGCCATATCAATTCATCCTTTCATACCTCGTCCCTATGGTTAGAAATAATCGTTATTTCTCCTTGAAATGAATGTTGATTTTTCCTTCAAAAGAAACACATGCAGGATAATTTTCAAATGTCATTTTATAACCAAATATATAATTAATGTTTTTATAAATACTGCTGTAAAATATATTTTAATTAATAATGTGAATTAACAACATTGGGACTTTTCTATTTAATTTTTTTTTTTTTACAATGTTTCATGATTAACTTTTAGTGATGAACGGAAAAATATGTCCAGGGTAGCCTAGTGGACATGGCATCTGCCCGGTAAGCGGAACAATGTGGGTTCGATTCCCATCCCTGGACACTTTTATTTTTCCGTTTATCATTACTCTTCACAATTCACCCTTTCATACCTCATACAAAAGGTTAGAAATAATCGTTATTTCTCCTTGAAATAAATTTTGATATTTCGTTGAAAAGAAACACATGCGGGATAGTATTTCAAATGTTGTTTTACATTTTTTTACATTTGAAAAAATTCTATATAAAAGACTAAAAATCTTATTTTAAAATTTTTGTTATATCTTAAAGAAATGCTTTATGGTTGTTTGCTTTTGTGTTAGAATCCTATTCATTGTGCATTCTAGCTGGTAAATCTTCAAAAGGCATGTATGTCTTTCTTCCTCTCTGTAAATTCATTCAACAAATACTTAATATTATTATCCAAAACAACTAATTGATAAGGCACAATTTGGATTATAGATTATAAACACAAGGTAATAAGACCAAATCCAAATAAATAAATAGTGTGTGACGTTTTGGTAACAGCGTTGTTACCATCTTCCGACAAAAGTACTGAATATTATATATAATGTTTATAACTTCACTACTTTTGTCTGAAGATGGTAACAACGCTGTTACCGAAACGTCACACACTATTTATTTATTTGGATTTGATCTTATTACCTTGTGTTTATAAAACAACTGATTGTTTACATTGGTGACTTAATAACCTTATCTAAGCAGCTGCAAGTCACCAATGTAAATAATCAGTTGTTTTGGAGAGTAATCTTATGTATTTTGGAAGGAAGTTACAGAGAGAAAGAAAGACATGCATGCCTTTTGAAGACCGATCACCTAAAATGCACAATGAATAGGGTTCTAGCCCAAAAGCAAACAACCATAAAGCATTTCTTTAAGAGATAATCTTCTTCTTTCTTATCTCCACTCAATCATATTAGGGTATCAAGCCTGTAGAGCTTGAGACTTGACAACCATCATGACTGGGTGAAGTAGAATGTGATTGCCTTTGTCATTAAGACTGAGAGCACTACTCAGTGGCAGGCCGACTTAGCTCCAAAAGAAATGGCCGCCTCTGACATGAGGAACAGACGTCATGTGCAGCCGCTCCTAACATGGAGTACAAACGCTGCTCATCCTGTATCCCTGGATCAGTCGCCCTTACAGAGTACTATCAGCCGGGCCAGCTGAACCCAGGTTTTTAGGGAGCCCCTCCTCCTTTTTTATCCGGGCTTGGGACCAGCAAAGTTTTAAGATATTTGAGTTTTAAGAGATAATAATATTTTAAAGCTGCTTAGGTAAGGTTATTGAACCAATGACACCATCCAAAATAAATGAAAAAAGCACATGACATGGCCAGCGCTGACATTTTAACGCTACGATGTCATCAATTTTATCTGCAGTGCACATTCCTAACTACTACAGCCATCCCACTGAATGGTGCTGTAATGCATTTTTAGCGTGACATAGTTGCATTAAAACAATAACTAAATAATGATAAGGCACAATTTGGATTATATATTATAAACACAAGGTAATAAGACCAAATCCAAATAAATAAATAGTGTGTGACGTTTCTGTAACAGCGTTGTTACCATCTTCAGACAAAAGTATGTTTATTACCTTGTATTAACAACTAAATAATGTTGTCAAAATTTTAAAATTGAAAGAAATGGTCGAATTAACCTTGGTTATTTGATAGACTGGAGATAGGGACTTGAAAAAATGGTCAAATTATTGATGGTTGAATTAACAAGGTTATACTGTATGTATATATGGACAGTTGAAGAGACATATTTGAATATCGGTTTTATGTGTGAAGGTAAACATGTGAAACACTTTGAGCTTGACAGCCTATATGCACTATATTCTCTTTAATTCAACCTCTTTTTTTTTTTTATTTTATTCCCAACAAGACTTTTTTTTTTTCCCTCTTCTTCTTCTTTCTTATCTCCACTCAATCATATTAGGGTATCAAGCTTGTAAAGCTTGAGATCATGACTGGGTGAAGTAGAATGTGTCTGCCTTTGTCATTAAGTCTGGGAGCACTACTCAGTGGCAGGCCAACTTAGCTCCAAAAGAAATGGCCGCCTCTGACATGAGGAACAGACGCCATGTGCAGCCGCTCCTAACATGGAGTACAAACGCTGCTCATCCTGTATCCCTGGATCAGTCGCCCTTACAGAGTACTATCAGCCGGGCCAGCTGAGCCCAGGTTTTTTAGCAAGCTTGTTACTGCTCCCCCTCCTCCTTTTTCATCCGGGCTTGGGACCGGCAAAGGCGGAGTTAAAGCACGAAAGCATGATAAAGCAAAATTTGGAGTTTAGATTATAATATAAGAAAATAAGACCTAATCCAAATAATTTAATAGTGTGTGACATTTCGGCAACAGCATTGTCACCATCATCAGACAAAAGTATAAATGAGAAAAAATATCACAGCAGGTTCTTAAATAGTACTGTTATCAACTCAGTACTATTTAAGAACCTGCTGTGATATTTTTCTTATTTATACTTTTGTCTGATGATGGTGACAATGTTGTTGCCGAAATGTCACACACTTAAATTATTTGGATTAGGTCTTATTTTCTTTCATTTTAACCAATGACTTAATTCAACACAGACTTTAATTCAACTTTACACTCAATATATGATTATCATCTCTCACCCCTGTTTATCCTTACCCTATAACTCCAATAAACACAAGGTAATAAGACCAAATCCAAATAAAGTGTTTGACAATTCGGTAACAGCTTTGTTACCATCTTCAGACAAAAGTACTGAATCATTCAGTATTCATTCAGTACTCTTGTCTGATGATGGTAACAACGCTGTTACAGAAATGTCACACACTATTTATTAGGATTTATAATGTGTTTATAATCTATAATTCAAATTGTGCCTTATTATAACTTCAATAGTTCAAAAGGCAGTAGCTAAAATATTTAAAAGTAAATTTGTTCAATTTTTATTCTAGTTATTTATAATGCTTATATATTTCTGGATATATGCTCAAAATTATAGCTCTAGTTCTATACTATGTCTTACTTATGTTTTTGGAAAGCCAGATACATGTTACAGAAAGGCTGTACCTATATTTTCTTTGTTTTAAAGGAAATATACAAATTCTATTCTTGACCACCCATCTTCTTCTTTCTTATCTCCACTCAATCATATTAGGATATCAAATTGTGACCCTTGATGGTGTCTGTTTTACAACCATCATGACTGGGTGAAGTAGAATGTGTCTGCCTTTGTCATTAAGACTGGGAGCACTACTTAGTGGCAGGCCGACTTAGCTCCAAAAGAAATGGCCGCCTCTGACATGAGGAACAGATGCCATGTGCAGCGGCTCCTAACATGGAGTACAAACGCTGCTCATCCTGTATCCCTGGATTAGGAGCCCTTACAGGGTACTATCAGCCAGGCCAGCTGAGCCCAGGTTTTTTAGCGAGCTTATTACTGCTCCCCCTCCTCCTTTTTCATCCGGGCTTGGGACCGGCAAAGACGGAGTTCTGACCACCCCTAGAAGTCTGAAACTTTGCATATTTGAAAATGTCAGTAGGATGGACCAAGTCTATAAAATACCCGACTTTTACATGGTCAGGAAATATATTGAAAATTGATCACAAAATTTGAAAGGAAATATAGAAATTTGTCCATTCCCAAGCCCATTTTTATGAACTGCCAGAGAAACAGATTTACCTATTTTTGTTCATTTTTGAAAGGAAATATATAAATTCTATTATCTAGTGTATTCCCAACCAACATGGCTACTGTGATGTCTGAAATTTTCTACATGTACAATGTTAGTAGGATTTAACTAGTCTATTAAATACAAGATTTGTGTACGTGGGCAGGAAGTATTGCAGAAATTGATCACAAATTTGAATGGAAAATGACTATTTCTAACCATTCAGAAGTCTGAAAGTTTGTCAAATTACAGTGTCATCGGGTTTGAGCAGGTTTACCAAATTTCATATTTCTAGATATGCTCTCTAAGTATGTTAAAAATTGATTACAAGATTTGTAGACAGATATGGAGAAGCAAGTTTCATGAAAACTAAAAAAAAAACACAAGGTAATAAGGCCAAATAAATAGTGTGTGACATTTCGGTAACAGCCTTGTTACCATCATCAGACAAAACATTGAATGAGAAAAATATCACAGCATGTTCTTTAATAGTGTGTGGCATTTCAGTAACAGCATTGTTTCCAAAACCTTGCACACTATTTATTTATTTGGATTTGGTCTTATTACCATGTGTTTCTAATCTATTATCCAAATTGTACCTTATCATCGGCAAAAAAAAGTATGTATGCCAAGATAGCCTATGCAGAATCTTCCCATGGGTTGTATGTACCCAGGATTCTTGAAGTATTCCCATTTGCAGCCTCACTTCATTTCCCTTCTCTTTGAAGGAAAAACCAAACACTTCCCAAACTGCACAAAATGTCTGGCTTGTGAGGCATCCCCGGAGCACATCCTGCAGTGCTGTGGTCTAAACAAGCAAGATATCTACAAAATCCCCCAGTAAGTCATCAATATACTAGGAAAGCATGGTCTACGCGAGTTGGCTTAAGCAATCAAGTGATAAACACAAGATAATCCCGCATTGGACACTTTTTTCTGTTTAAAAAAAAAAATGCACCAATGGCCCCCGATTCTTGCAAAAGTCCAACCCCACCAGCGAGTGCAAGTAACCAAACGGGGCTCTGGCACATTTGTAAGTGCAAAGTCGAACTGCTTTTCACATGTGTAGACATGTGGTGCGCTTACAGTAAAAGCAGTCGCTAACTACCCACCATGATTATCATGGCCTGTACCACGTGTACTAGGGATAAGCAATAAAAAACAGAAGGTAATAAGACCAAATCCAAATAAATAAATAGTGTGTGAGGTTTCTGTAAGCGTTGTTACCATCTTCAAACAAAAGTACTGAATGTGGAATTCATTTTATTCAGCTCATAGGAAGAATAACTTCTTAGGTCCATTGAAGTCTATAAAAATGATAAGGCACAATTTGGATTATAGATTATAAACACAAGGTAATAAGACCAAAT